CCCCACAAAAATGTCCATGATTGTCAACTTACTGCCATACACTGCATTTCACTACCCTACCTCATATTTTAATATTCCCTTGGCCCAGGGATAAAGCAATGAAATGAAGTTCAAGTTGGTTTCACAGATAGTAAACATGCATTATGAATTTGAAACATACTTCCGGACACACACTTTGCTCACTGAGCATATGTTCAAGAAGAACTTCCTCTAAGAACTTCCTTTTATGACTAAAACCGTAATCTGGAACCATTCACTGTCCTTGGTTTTAGAATTCTATGTGCTTTCATAAGATATTTGCCTTTTTCATTTTAAACACAGTCCAATCTTATAGCTGCTAAATCAAACCGTTTAGGTAAAAGACACCTTTTCAGTTGGAAAACCAGTCAAAGTCCATTAATCCTTTCTATGATTATAAACAACCGGATTCAACTAATTCCCAGAAGCAGAGATTTGTAAATCTGTAGACATTTCTACTTCAACCCTTGTTCTCCCCACTTAGGGCGCTAAGTCCTTGAATGTTGAAGAGACTTCTTCAAAGTGACGTGGTACCAGGCTAGACGCCTGATGTGCTGACCTCTAATCAAGCAGTAACTGTGCTCTCTCTGTAGAGCGTGCCAGTGAGGACTTAAGTCTCAGTTCTGGCTTCAGCTGTACCAGCATGCCAGAGCTACCTTCACTGAGTAAAGGTCACCACATCTTATTAAGATCAACCTATTAGCATTGCCCAGTTTGCATATATACAAAACAATATCCAGGTGAGCACAGATGTATATGAATCACGTTTAGAATCAACACGGTAGCATTGCCTGATTCGCGCACATGTCAGACCTACAGCTACACATATATTAGTTGCGTTAAGATTCAACATATTAGGACTGCCTAGCTTACAGACTCATAAAAATCATAAAACTCTATATATGGGGAGGGGGAGGTCATGTACACTGAACATATCTAGGATCAACATTTTAGGGCCCACCAATTTTGAAAACTTTGAACTTTTGCAGCCAGATGACACTTCCCCTGTGACATACTGGCCCTCCCACTGCTGGAGACTTGAGTCTCTGATATCGCTCTGCCTCATTTGAGGCAATTACTGTACATCTAGCTGTAGGGAGCCTACAGACTGGAATGACAACCAAAGGTCTCCTATATCCACCCATTTAGAGATACATGTAGATACAGACATATGCTGTATAGTTCACACACATGATCCAATCCACAGTGAGCGCCTACACAGCCACTAGGAAGAGAGAGAGCTGGTGATGACCATCCTTATCCTGGGAAATAACGGACTGTGGCCCTCCCCTCTTATCCCAAGGAAATACATATGAAAGAAGAGGGAGTGGGTAATGAATGAATAGGAAGGTTTAATTTAGACAGATTGGATTATGTTATACTGCATAATCTCTTGCTACATTGCATCACTCTCTTATCAGTTGACTTGAAAAGGCTACACCTCTGGTTGGTTTCCAGTGGAATGAATGTATTGGATTGGCCAAAAAGTTCTTTCGGGTTTTGGGTACGATGTCACGGAGACACCTGGACGAACTTTTTGGCCAACCCAATAGCACAGCCCAAGGCAGGTTTTGGACTTCTGTAGCACTGGTGCCTATTAACTCAGGATTTGTCTAGTCTTGGGAATACCATTCTGCATTTTTAAAACCTCTTGCTCTATACAATCGATTTGGCTTCAGTATTTTCAAAAAGGAACACATTTTTGAAATGCATTGGTGTGCGGTGTGCATTTTCACTTACCTTTTCCGCCGACTGAGCGGTGCCAAAAAAAATGGGAATGAAGGCAAGCCAGACTATACATGTTGTGTACATGGTGAATCCAATGGGCTTGGCTTCATTAAAATTCTCTGGGACACCCCGAGTCTTGATGGCATACACAGTACACGTGACCATGAGAAGAATGCTATATCCCAAGGAGCAGATAATCTGGAGATCCGTAATGTCACATTTGAGAACTCCCCGGGCCTGCTCAGGGTTCATTGTCTTGTGTTCATCATAGTCTATGATGATGTTGGGTGGGTCAACACCAAACCAAATGAAAACACCTAGAAGCTGAACTGATATTAAACTAGAAGTGATCGCCAGCTGTGATGTTGGGCTTATGAGCCTGGGAGCTGTCACTGATTTCTTGCCCTGTTCGAATATGCGATAAATCCGATTGGTTTTTGTCAAAAGGGCCGCATAACTGATGCACATACCCAAGCCCAAGAACACTCTCCGGAAAGAACACACTGCCACGTCAGGTTTGGCTATCATCAGGAAAGTGATGATGTAGCAAAGAAAGATGCCCGTCAACAGAACATAGCTCAGTTCCCGCCCAGATGCCCGGACGATGGGAGTGTCATTGTAGCGGATGAAAGTGGCCATGACAAATATAGTGGCGATGATCCCCAACATGGCGAGGAAGACAGGGATGACGGCCCAGGGGGAGTGCCACTCCAGTTTGATGATGGGGATGTCCTGGCAGCCGGTTCGGTTTTCATTGGGTCGCTGGTCGTAGGGGCAATGCTGGCATGTCATCTCATCAAACTGGTACTGGTAGCCATCGCAAGGCTCGCAGGTCCAGCAGCAAGGAGTTCCCTTCTGTGTCTTCTTTCTTTGCCCAGGCTTGCATGGCAGTGTACACACTGACGGGGGGATCTCCCGGAGTCCTTTACCCCACTGCATGTCCTCTATCTGCAACAAGAAATAAGAAGGTGCAACAGGTAGATTAGTTAAGAGGAAAGAAAAAGAATAATAACAACAAACAGTAGTGATAACAACATGTGAGACTTGACAAGGTAAAGTAACCCCCAGCTGCAGGAGCTACAACCCAGATTCAACCCCACACCATTTCACTGTCGCATCCTCAGTCTTCACCACTGTAGAGTGTGCCAAACATGCCGGATTGTAAGAATTCCCTGTGGTAGCTACTGGAAATACAGATTCCCTGTTCCCACCCTAGACCCCCCAAATAAGAATACCCTGAAAAGGAGCCTTTGGATCTTCATTTTCAACAAGTACTCAGAGGATTCTTAGGATTAGATAAAGTCAGGGACGACTGATATGCTCTCTACTGCCGCCTCCTGGGTAATAAGTGCAAACGTCCCAAATTAAGTTAAAAATCTTAAGTAACATGAAAAGCTATATTCATTTCCCTTATTAGATGCTTTTGGTTTTTTTTAATTGTTTTTAAATTATTTTGGATGATATTGCAGTGGTAACCACCTTTTCTGAAATTCTGTAGGCGTCACTGTCATTTTCACTGAGAAATTTTGAAGCAAATGAACCTATTCTATTTATCACAGAGGAGTGATAAGGTTCATTATTGAAAGTTTTAATTGTAGTTAACAAAGCATTTGATAAGAAAGTAATATGGTCTGGAAACCTTTCAAGATGAGCCATGTACCTATTTGGAGATGAAATTTAAACTAAAACACTATATCCTAGAGGAGGATGAACGTGTGCTTGCTTAATTAGAATATTGGCTTTCTGGAAGGGAATTCATAATTAACAGTCTTCTGAGAAATAATGGCATCAGAAACAAAGAAGAACTTCATTACGGGGCTGATATCTCATCTTTTCCAGCACAGCATCTATTCTTCCTTTTTTCCTGATATCATTTCCTCACTTTTTTTTTTTTTTTTCCTATGTGCTTTCTGTGAGATGGGATTTACACCGAAACTCCAGGGGTGGCAAGCAAGACCCAGGCTGGGCCAATTAGGATACTGCGTCGTTCTCAAGCTTGAGTACACATTAGAATCACTTGGAGGGGTTTTTACAACCCAGCATACTGAACCCCACTCTCAGATTTTCTGATTCACTGGGACTAGGATGGGGCTCGAGAGTATGTATTTCTAACAAAATCACAGATGGTGTTGCTGGAGGTTCTCTAGCCATCACACTTTGTCAACCACTGATACATTCCAACCTCCTAGCCCCAGAGACTGGGTCAGGGATGGGGTCATTACAGAATGGCACAGCATTTAGCTTCACGGCTTTTACAGAGATTAAGTAGGATAAAAATCTTTTGTTTCTGCTGGATTTGCAGGTTCCAGGATGTAAGGATGCTGGTGCTCATGGCTATAAAGAGGAAGTTGTTTCTCAGAGGAAGAAGCCAATATCAAGGAAAGCAGAGCAGAGAATTGAAGAGAAAGATTACTGATAAGCCTGTTTAAGCTCCTGGAAACAGCTCTGCCTGAAGCAGGTTTTCCCTATATCGTGTCATTATGTGACTCAGTAAACTCTGCTATGCTTGAAGCACTTTGAATTGCATTTCTCTTACTTGTAACCAAGGGTCCTGAAAAATATACCTACTAAATGAATAATTTTAGTATCTATGTGTTGCAAAAGATGTACTTAAAAAATACACGAATACATTCCAATGGACAAATCTGGCTGATATTCCCCATATCTAGTTTATCAAATTTTTAAGATATGGGAACAAAAATATAGGTTAGAATGATACTGAAGAGTCTTAACTATTTTGATTGATTGATTGATTTGCCTGCGTTTGGTCTTCGTTGCTGTGTGCGGGCTTTCTCCATGTTCAGGGAGCGGGGGCTACTCTTTGTTGTGGTGTGAGGCTTCTCACTGTGGTGGCTTCTCTTGTTGCAGAACACGGGCTCTACGTGTGCAGGCTTCAGTAGTTGCAGCATGCGGGCTTCAGTAGTTGTGGCACACGGGCTCAGTATTTGTGGCTCAGAGGCTTAGTTGCTCCGCAGCATGTGGGATCTTCTCGGACCATGAATCAGAACCCGTGTCCCCTGAATTGGCAGGCAGATTCTTAACCACTGCACCCCGAGGGAAGTCCCTGAGCCTCTTCTCAATGCATACTTTTAAGACATAAGAGGGGGAACTAATTTATTGCTCAGTGGAATTTGAATGCTCTGTTAAAACAGGATGCAGTGTATAGCAAGGTGTGCTACTTCCATCAAAACTTGAATGAGAACTACATTCAACATCTGAGTCAAATGTAGTTAACTCTGGGGAAAAGAACGGTTCAAGGATTAAACTTTATAAAATACTACAACCTTCTAGTGATTGAATTTAAACTTTAATCAGAGACCCAAGTATCTTTGGATGACTCTTATGAACTCATCTGCCTGAGCACAAAGCCCAAGTCAGCACTAATAAATCTAACCAGATATAAAACATAATCATTTCTTTCTCAACATCATCATTTTTGCACCAGTAGGTCACTGTCAGCCATCCCAAAGTCATAAAATTAAGGAAATAATTTGTAATAAGAGAGAAAAAGACATGCATTAACTTTATAAACGTCCAATTTCAAGAAGCTGGAACCTAAAACATTGCTATTATTAACACAAATGTTTCAAAATATCAAAGTAAAAGGCCCTACACATGGTTAGTAAGAAAGACTAACAAAAAAAACCTTACAAATAAACATCATTAGCTAAACTTGAGATTGCCTGATTCTTAAACTTAAGCTACGGAATAGATGTAGGGCTCATACAAATATAAAAACAAATTATCATTATATGTAATACTTTATAGCCAATTTCATATGTTGCCAGCTTGCAATCCCCCCTCACCACAAATAAAACGGTCAGCAACGCTGAACGGCTTTTTTTCTCAACTTAACCAAATGTATACAACAGCTATAACCACAAACATTACATTGACTACTTAACTTGTTTTCAATTTTCATTTAAAGTAGATCTCAACTCAATTTAATTGTATATATTAAAGCAACAAAGTTGCTTCTTGCTCCAAACGAACAGAAGTCTAATCTACTTGCTTTGCCAACAAAAATCATTATTTATTGAAAATATAATTTATGTTCCATAAAGGTACCAACTAACCTTTAAGAGCTCCAGTAAGTGAGAATTTTGTTAAAGTGACACACATGATTTGTGTATATCTTTACCTATCCACACAAATTTAGTGCCTTGTTTCATAAGAAGAAACAGTGAGCTGCAAATGACCAGGGGCACCTATTTTTTTTAAAGAGGGTAACAATTTAGGGTTTTGAAAAATTAACTGTAATGTCAATTGACTTTGTCAAAAGGCTAGAAGGAATGCAAATTTCAAGTTTGTTCTAAACTCTGCAACAAAACTGTTTTATTTAGTTAGCTGGAAAGCCAAAGTTAAACTGCAGAAAGATGTAAAAAATTAATAAATAGAAATCTCAATTAAAGAGTGTCAGGAGAAGGGGGAGATCTCATGCCCCGTGCCCATAGCTGAACCCAACGGGAAGAAGATTCCTCTTCCTTGGCAAGGACTCGACCAATGAAAAGCCATGAACCTTTTACCATTGCCCTCCAACTTCCTTTTCCCCTCTACAAAAGTGTTCTCCTTTCCTTGCTGTGAGGGGTCTTGCATGTGGCTTGCCACGGTTTCAGACCCCGAGTTGCAATGCTCTTGCTGATCTCAAATAAACCCATCTTTGCTGGAACAATATATGTCAGTCTATTTATTTCAGGTCAACAAAGATTAGGAAAAAGGCTAGGATGTTTACCATTGTCTTCTTTAGAAGATACAGTTCTAAATTCCCTGATAAGAATGCATTTTCTTCCTGGACATCCCAAGTTTATGGTTATTGGATACTGGATCAGCTCAGTTAGCTGGCTCATGGCAAAGGACTGTTGAGATCTCAGCTCTTGGCAAGAGAATACACCTGTAAAGCTAGTATCATCAATTAACACCATGCATGGCGCATAGATTTTATGGATAAGTGAATCAATGGTTTAAAAAAGAGAAAATTAGGTAATCCTGGCCAATGAAAGCAAAAATAAGCCTTTTGTGGAGTCCTAGGAAAGCGTTCTTCACTCTTTAAAGCAGAGTCACAAAGAAGAGAGATGCTGTCTTCAGCCTTTGATGTGTGCAAATGTGATAGATGGAGCTGCAGCAGCCATTGTGCCACCACGAAGAGACAAGCTGAAGGAACAAAGCTGATATGCTGAGGATAGTAAAACAAAAACAAAAACAGAATTTGTATCTTTGATGCTCTCAAAGTAACTTTCTAGGCTCAACATGGAGCCACTCCTGTATGGGGTGCCACGTCAGTAAGCCAAAACTAAGATAACTTTCACATTCCTGTGAACAAGCTTCACTCGAACAGAAATGCAGTACATCTAGTCAGCCAGTCTCCAAAGGCTATGTCAACTCAGGGGCTTCTCACCCCAAAAAGGGTTGACTATGTGGGCCCAGCCCATCAGATAATTTTTATATGTTCCTTATTCTTTATCCTATGAGAGCTTTCCGCTTTCCACCCCATTTTGCAGTTCTCTGAAAGAAGACTGTCCACAAAATGTTAAATAAAGTGTGTCTGTACTGCCTAAATTGTCTTCTTTAATCATTTATTTTAACAGTGGCATCTTTTTTTTTTTTTTTTTGCGGTACACGGGCCTCTCACTGTTGTGGCCTCTCCCGCTGCGGAGCACAGGCTCCGGACACGCAGGCTCAGCGGCCATGGCTCACGGGCCCAGCCGCTCCGCGGCATGTGGGATCTTCCCGGGCCGGAGCACGAACCCGTGTCCCCTGCAACGTTAGGCGGACTCTCAACCAGTGCGCCACCAGGGAAGCCCCAACAGCGGCATCATTTTGTCAACCAAATGAACCAACACTGGTACCACCCTACCCTGAACTGCGAACATGAAACAATAAACTTCCCTTGGTTAACCAATACCTCATGGGTAGCCCACTACTTGCAGTCAAACATTCTAACACACTCT